ATGCCTTTATCAAGGATGCAAGCCAATAACCTCTATAATTTTTGTTGAGTTGGTACAGTATATGAATGTGTGCAGAGATAGACAGAAATAATTGGTAATACTTGGCCATGGGTGTACAGTATCAGTTTTTTGAGATCTGGCTGGTTGGATAGACTTTTGAAAATGGGTGATGCTATTTTATGGCCATGGCTGAATTAAAACTATTTAGATTCCAATGGTGTCTTTTTAGGAACTAGGTCTGTTGTTTGTGTATCAGTATGTTTTGCTTATGCATATATTCAGGATTCCTACATGATCTTTTGAGTAGCTTGGGAGTGTTGGTTAGCTTATAAATAATGTCATGAGCTGGAGTTTTCAAAGCCTTATAGTCCTTCTTATAGCTTTTGTTCCATTTTTCTTTGCTTCCTGAAATTTCAGTTCCTGAGCAAGAGATTCTTAAGATCAGGGGTGTTAAACTGAATTTCTTCGAGGGCCAGATCAGCATTGTAGTTCTCCTCCATGGGCCAGCCAAGAGGGGTGGGGGTAGAGATGGGACGGATGCCTCCTGCAGCACCCTGCCAGCCAAAATGGGCATGGGGGGTATACCCCATTTTGGCTGGCAGAGTCCTACAAGAGGCTATCAAGGCCAAAAATGGGGCATGGGCCCTCCCTGCACCTCCCATGCCCCGTTTTGGCTGGCAGAGTGCTGCAGGAGGCCACTCAGGCTGAAAATGGGGCACAGGGCCCCCCATGCACCCCTGTGCCTCGTTTTGCCTGCCAGAGGCACTATGGACCAGTCCTTTGCTATTTTCAGGCTGGCCCCATGGGCCAGATTTAAGCCCTTGAGTTTGACACCCCTGCTTTAGATGATTGGTGCTTTAAAAGTATGGAAGTATTTCACTAATTAATCTCTAACTGAATTATCAATACAAGGTTAGGCTGTTGAACTTCATCTATATTCATAAATGTTAGCTAAAGCTGTATAAGTATTCCAGATTCCTTGAAAATCAGTAAACCCAAAGCAGTAGATTTAAAGTAGTTTAAATTGAACTCCAAATAAGAAAACAATAGAAGCTTATAGAATGAAACTTATAGAAGGTAAATTGCTACTCAGAAGTATTTTTTTTAACAAAATTGCTATAAAGCTACAAAATGTTAGTGTTTCAAACAGCTATTGTTCTGTCTTCAAAAAAATTATATTTAACATTTCAAAACCTCCTGAAAGTTTTCAAAGCTCAAAGTTATCACTGTACTTCCTCACCAGTGTCCATACAAGAGTCAGTGCTACCAGCCTTATCTGTTGAAATACTTGATCATTGTATTTAGTGACTTTCCTGATGGTATTTTTTATACTTGATTTCAAAACTATTTCAAACTCTTTCAAAAATTATTTCAAAACTGGATAATACTTCCTCTCAGATAATTACTTGGTCAACTAGCAATCTTTAGGATGACATTTCTACTTGCACATATAATTGCATGTAAGGAAAACTATTTTGTTTATCTTGTCAGTTTTTCTTAGTACAGTAAAGTAGGCTTGCAAGTAAAACTCCCATCATACCCATTCCAAACAGGATAGTTGAAAGGCCAATTCTTTGTTCCTCACATAATTTTTCTTTCGCACCATTAAAGAGCATCAATGTTACAACAATTCAAAAGGGAAGAAGAAGGGACTGATTAAGTATTCAGAGTTGTCTAATTATATAAGAAAGACAGAGAAACCGGAGGAGCTGACAGAGGTGTTCATACTGTTTTGGGCACTACTGAGATATTAGTTTGATTTCCAAAACCTGGTTTGCCAGCTGAAAACAAAAGAACAGTAATAACAAAATCTAAGCGTCCAAATGTTATCTAGTCATCTCAAATGAGACAATTTTACTTCAAGGCACCAAAACTAAAAGATAAGGTACAAGGCCATACTGGTTTCCAAAGTATAAATAGCTCTTTTAAGTAATACTATGCAAATCACCACTACCTTTCCTCCATGTTTATTTTATCCTGAGAGCCTTTTGGTTCTATTATAGTTAACTAATTAAGAATGGATTTTACAAGAGGTTAAAATTATCAGCAGCATTGTATTGCCTTCTCCCTACTTATCTTTTCATAGAATCATAGAATGGAAGGGTTGGAAAGGACTGTAGAGATCATACAATCCAGACTCCAGTTCAGAGCAGAAATCCATTAATACTGTACAACTTCTCAGATGACTATCTAGCTTCTCTTTCACTATCTCCACTAAAAAAAGCCCCAGCTATTGCTGAATAGCTCTTAACAGTTAGAAAATGTTTCTTGATGTTCCAACTAAAATCTATTTCCTTGTCATTTAAAACTCTTATGTGCCACCTTCTACAGCATAGCCTTCAGATACTTAAAATAGTTATGTCTCCTATAGTCTCATATTATCTGGGTAAATATACTAAAGCCTTCAAATGATCCTAATTTTCTCTCCTTCCTGTACATTTACCCTCTTGATTGCTCTCCTTCAGACACTTTGATTTGTCTATGTCCTGTATGAAACATAGTGTCCCAAAATGGAATCAATATTCTAGATGCACTCTCACCAATGCTGAATAGAAAGGAAAAATTAATCTTGACTTTATATTCTGTTAATGGAAGCCTAAGATTGTCTATGCTTTTTTTTTTTTTACAGCTGCATCACACTTTTGGCTTAATTCAGCTTGTGATCCATCAAAACTTCTAGATTCTTTTTATATGCACTACAGCCAAATATAGTTCTCCCCAGTTCTTTTCTGTACTCATGCCTTTGATTTTTCTGACCTATATTTAAGATTTGCATTTGTTCCTGTTGAAAGTTTTTTTGCTGTTTTTTTGCCAATGTTCCAGCTTGTCATGTTCTTTCCAAATCTTGATGCTGTCCTCTAATGCATTTGTTATCCCCTCTTTGTGTTGTTTGCAGCTTTGATAATTATATTTTCTAATCCTACATCCAACCATTTATGTGTTGCATAATACAAAGACTAAAAATGCCCTGTACTTGTAGTGTACCACTTATACTTTTTTGTTTACCTATAGTATAGGGGGAGGGTCATGTGCGCATGTGCAAATGGGGCGTGCATTGCATTATGGGTGCCAACACACGCGAGCGCAATAGCGCAAGCACGCTCGGACTTTTGGCATGCAATGCCAAAAAGGTTTGCCATCACTGACCTATACTGAGCCATGGATGTACACTTGTACACAGTTGTTCCATTAGTTTTTATCCATCTAATTTCCCCCCCAGGTGAGAGTTGTGTAAATTAGTCTAGCAGTTTAGCCTGACTTCAGAGTCTTTTGCACACTCTTATAGTAGTATCTTGGTTATTTCTTCTTACTTGTGTTCTTCCAAAAATGCTTTGGATTGGATCTGCTAAATCAGATTTCTAGATCTGAACATACCAATTAAAAATAACATAAATGAACAATTAAAATAAGGCATGTATTTTTAAGTATTTAGGAATAAATATATTACATATAAATATATGAATTCTTTTTTGAAAATGTTTTATTTATGCTGATGCTCTAACAATTATTATGAAAGTTTTTGATATATGCACATGGTATAAACCAGAGCAGTATTGGCACACAAAAAGAGACATGGTATGCATGTTTTTCATAAATCCTAACCTATGCTGAAATGTGTTTGTTTCTTATATAATTATTATGCTGTCATTTCTTTCAGTTATAATAAAAAATAAAATATACCATACTACCACCACCATGTTGAAAGGGGTCAGAGAATAAAAAATATCACAGCCTTTGGAATATAAAGATTTTTCTAGTCTTCTGAAATTTTACAAATTTCTCAGCTGCCATTTTCAAAACAAGTGCTCACAAAACTGCGATACAAGTATTTAATTGAAACAAGCAAACAAAGGCACCAACTGACAAAGATGGATTTGAAATCCTCCTGTATCTATTCATTCAAAATTGGACAAACTTTTAAAAAATTAATAAAAATATTTGTTAAAATATCTAAGAACAAAATAAATATCTACATAAAATAAGAAAAAAATAGGGATACAATGAATAAAAAATAAAATATCAGAACATAAATGATGGATTTAGGATTATTACAAAATTTAAAATTAATGTTTTCATTCTTCATTCATATATTAGATTCATTATATATCTTAAGAAACAACTAGACATCTCTATATAACTCTATACATGATATTAATATTAATACCACTACCTATCATCTTTCCAAAGTACACACACATAATCACAAACGAAGACAACTTGGGAAAAAAATCAATTAATTAATCAATCAATAAGACATTGTTGTTAAAAAGGAGAAAAATAAATAAAAAACTAAATTCGCTCCCATTGTATTAAACTGGGGACTCTATTAAAATATTTCTAAATACTGAAATGGCTTCCAATTACTATAATTATATAAATTATTTTTCCCTTAAAAATCATGCAAAAAATGTCTGAATTTGCTTTGTTTTAGGACATATAATTCTTGCTTAAATTTAATCAAACTTTTACTCTGGATGTACACACCCAGATTTTGCCAATGCTGCACATTCCTTAAGTTTGGTTTCACAGTCCAAATATCGTTAATAAAGTGTCTCTTTTCTAGAGTTGAGTTATTTGTGATTATTAGCATAAAATAAATCTTAACAAAGTATGTTATATTTTGTTTGTGGTATTCTATGTTTTTATCAAGCTCTATCTTATAAAATGTCCTTTTAAGTTTTTGTTTTCTTTTGTGTCTTTTTACTGTATATCTGTGAAGTCTATTAGCTAAGCCAACACCTTCTAATATTGACATTCTGCTATTTGGGGATTTTATCCATTCGATCAACCATGGCAAGCAATATGCACAGTAAGAGTTTTAAAATTTGGGAGACCAAACCTATTCTAGCTTTGGAATCTTGTAAAAATGTTTATTTTATTCTAGGTTGTTTTTCTTTTCCAGATAAATTTATTAACTGTTCTTTTGCCAATCTTGGGGGGTTGGGAATTCTGAGATTGAAATTGGCACCAAAAGAAACCACCTCTTTCTGATTACATACCTGTCCAACAGATCCAGCAGGAAGGGTTTGTTGTGGGTCCTGTATGGTAAAGAGTTCTATCTGATCTAGAAGACTAAATAAATCAATATGAAATTGTCAGGAGTTGGGTGACATATACATTTAATATATTATCATTTAATATTATTTTAGTTAATATATTCATTTAAATTGTTGCAACTGATTTTAAGATGGAGAGGGTTTCCCCCCCTTTTCAAAATCTTTTTAAAGTTCTGTCCATTATTTGGTTCAAATTTTTTAAAAATATATCTTTGTTAAATACATTTCAAATATTTCACCAGGGCTCTTTTTTACTGAATATTCAACTACAGCTGGTTCTTGACTTACAACAGTTCATTTAGTGAATGTTCAAAGTTATAATGACACTGAAAAAAGTGACTTATGACCATTTTTCAGATTTGCGACTGTTGTAGCATCCACGTGGTCATGTGCTCAAAATTTGGATGCTTGGCAACTGGGTTGTATTTATGATGATTGCAGTGTTCTACGGTCATATAATCACCTTTTGCGACTTTCTGACAAGCAAAGTCAATGGGGAAGTCAACCCATTAACAACCCTTAACAATCTATGTTACTAACTAAACAACTGCATGATTCATTTGACAACTATGGCAAGAAAGGTTGTAAAATGGGGCAAAACTCACTTAGCAACAGAAGCGTTGGACTCAATTGCAGTCATAAGTCAAGGACTACCTGTATTTCTCCACTAAGCTTCCCCACCCACCCCGCCTTGGGATAAGTGTCTTGTTATTATCTTGTTTTCTTGGTAAATAGTACATTTTCTATATAACATTTTTATTAATATTCCTTTCCTTGAAATTGGACAGCATTGATCACCTCAGTTCATTCATAGTTTCAATCAAATATGCTAATAGTTTTAAAATAATCAGTACCACTTTTTAAAATAAAGAGAGTACAAAATAAGCAAAACGTATTTTCATATAAGGTATTTCTCCTTGGGCCTACTATTCCTACAATATTCATCCAATTCTAGAAGCACACATTTTAACGACCGTATTTTCCGGCGTATAAGACGACTTTTTAACACATGAAAATCTTCTCAAAAGTTGGAGGTCATCTTATACGCCGGGTGTTGTTCTCCTGTAACCAGGCAGACCAGCCTGAAAGGCTCTGACGAGCCTTAAATGGCTTTGATGAGCCAAGCTCTGACCATCCCAGCTGAGTTGCCTGCTAATCAGGCAACTCAGCTGGGATCGCCAGAGCCATTTAAAAGGAAAAAACTTTTTTTTCTTTTACATGGCTCTGGCGATCCAAGTGCTGACGATCCCAGCTGAGTTGCCTGCTAATCAGGCAACTCAGCTTAGATCGCCAGAGCCCTGTAAAAGGGAAAAAGTGTTCCCCCTCCAGCTTGCTTACCTTAGCTGCTAGTCGCAATGCTTGCCTTGCTTCGCTTGCCTGAATCCATTCCATCAGCAAGCAACTCCCTGCCTGCAATCAAGCAGGCAGGGAGTTGTGGACTTCAACTCCCAGAATTCCTCAGCCAGCAAAGCAAAGCTGGCTGAGGAATTCTGGGAATTGAAGTCTACAAGTTTTAAAGTTGCTAAGGTTGGAGACCCCTGTTCTATTGGGTAAGTTTTTTCCCCTTTTGGGAGCTTTAAAAAAAATAGTTAATTGGGGTTTTTTTAGTTGTTCTTTTTTAGACCTAGCCATTTAAAGTTTAGGAAGTTTTAAATTTAGCTTTCATATAAAAATAAAAATAAAATTTATTTATTTATTTATTATTAAATTTCTATACCGCCCTTCTCCCTGAGGACTCAGGGCGGTGTACAGCCAAAATTAAAAAACATGCAGTACAAATATTAAAAAAACAATTAAAAGATATATAAATTTGGCCCAATTAAAACTCACTACCAATTAAAACATTTAAAAATTTCTTCTTAAGCACAAATAATATTTGTGCAGCTTTCTGAGATTTAGTGTGTTTCTGTAGTGTTTCACTCTAACTACACAAACACACAAAATCTCACAAAGCTGTATGTGGAATTTTGTGTGTGTAAAGTGTGAAAGTTGGGTTTTTGGGCTTTTTGTGGCTGTGTGAGGTTCCTGCTTGTTGCAGGGGCCATTTTGGGTCTAGCACAGCTGCTTTTACATTGTGGGTGAGCCAGCTGATGTTTTTTAATTTTTATTTGGTGTGCGTTGGAAGAGGGGTAGTCTTATATGGCGAGTATAGCCCAAACCCTATATTTTAACAGGAAAAGTCGGGGGTCGTCTTATACACCCAGTTGTCTTATACGCCAGAAAATACGGTATTTCTTAATCTCCATTGATATGTAATGGAAGGCAAAGACATACCCTCAGAAATTTAATATCAGCTATGGGTCTTCATGGACAAAGTTCCAGTCACTAGGATTTGGTATAATTTGTCCCTATACAATGCAACACTTATTCTAGGAATAAACATTTCTACCTGACTGCTATTAATATTAAAAGAATGAAAAAATAAGGCCATTCTGTGCCAGCATCTCCTTATATATTTGTATGACAATTCAATGATTCATTAATTTTGCTACACTACAGTATTACATGATGATGGTTAAATGTGATTATTAGTGTAAAACGTTCTACAAAGAATAGATTTTAACCGTATATATTTGATAGGGATTATCATTTTAAATCTAAATAGACAAATGGTCTCCTATTTCAAGTTGTATCTTGGTGGAGTACTATATACCTACAACCTTTAGCCATATTTTAAATATACCAGTTGGAGAGACAGATATTCCAATGTGAATATTTTTCCAATATGAATTTCCAATTTGAATATTTTGAGCCACGGTGGCACACTGCAGTTCTGCAGGCTGCACAGAGTGCAGTACTGCAGGCTACTTCTGCTGCCTGCAGGCTGCCTGCAATTTGGCAGTTCAAATCTCACCAGGCTCAAGGTTGACTCAGCCTTCCATCCTTCCGAGGTAGGTAAAATGAGGACTCAAATTGTTGAGGGCAATATGCTTAGAGAAAGAGCTGTAAACACTGTAAAGTGGTATATACCCTGTTTCCCCCAAAATAAGACATTCCCTGATAATAAGCCCAATTGGACTTTTGCGCACATGGCAATAAGGCCAAGCGTTTATTTCAGGGTTCAAAAAAATATAACACAGGGTCTTATTTTCGGGAAAACATGGTAAGTCTAAGTGCTATTGCTGTTGCTATTTTTGGCCCAGGATCATTATGACTGAATTCAAATATCATGCTGATGGTTGGTTTTAACTGTAATTCCAATGCTAACACAAGTTCATACATAAACCATGGTTACAAACCACTATTGCTGGAGTTGAGCCCAAACTACTATAGCTTTTTCGCTTATCATGGCTCATTTGGCTTTCTGTCTAAATTCTTGCTTTATGCCTCTTTCTCTCACCCCGTTTTCTCCTATACTCAACTTTCACTATGCTCTTTCTCTTTCTCTTTATCATCTTTCTGCCTCTTTACTTTTATTGACAGCAATTGTTTCTCACTCCCCTCAATCTCTACCTTCTCTCTATACTTTAGAAATTCTTTTCCAATCAATTCCTTCAAAAATAGCAATTCTCTAATTACAGAGCCTTTGTGACCAGATATGACTATCATGTTGCAACATCAAACAAAACCATGGTTTATACAATAACTAGATTTACCAAAAACCAAATAAATTATATTTATGTCTTTATGTGATGAATAGGATTTAACCATTTCACTATCTCCCACAAATAAATTGTCTTTGAATTATGACGACAATTGGGTCTAGAATTTCCACTGCTAAATAAGACAGTTGTTAAGTGAATTATGCCCAATTTCATGACAATTCTTGCCATGCTTGTTAAGTGAAACACTGCCTTTGTTAAGTGAAATACAATTATTAAGTAAATCCAGCTTCTCCCGTTGATTTTGCTTGTTGAAAGCCAACTGGGAAAGTCGTAAATGGTGATCTCTGCTCTGGCTCTTCATTTTGCTATGTTCACTAGATCCACTTTTAGTGGAGCCATCTTCAATTTGTCTTTTCTTCACCAGAATTCCCATGTCCCATTGATCTCAATAGATCTATAGACTAAGAAAATTAAATCTACATGCACTTGGACAGAGGTTTACCTCTGTATTAATAGGAGTATAGTATTAGTGGTCAACAAAATAATGTTTGTTTTAATGACATTATATCCAACAAGTAGTTTGCACAAATCTGATTTTTTTGAGAAAAAATTAGGCAATCCTATTTCTTCATACCAACACACATCTTTTCACTTTACACTTCAGCTAAACTTAATCTCAGAAATCTGTATTGCCATGAGCTATAAAGAAATCAGTGTCTAAAATGTAAATAATTAAAATATAGAAAGTTACATAACAGAGACTCTTCACAGTCAGTAACTACAAAATATTTCTACTTTCTTTTCCACAATGTATGATGTATTGATTCTAACTATAATTTTGAAAATAAATATATTTTTATAAATACCTATTAATTACTTTCAATTTTCAAGTAACAAAAAACTGTATATTTTTATTGCATGGAAATTAAAGCCTGGACAAACAGAATTGATTCTTTATAAAGCGATAGCTAAAGAACCTATTTTTCAAAATTAGAAACAAATATATGGGCCTGTACAGTTGATATTAAAAGCAACATGAAAAAATTACATCTTTACATTCCACCACAGTACCTTAAATACCTTCAAAAACATCTGTCTATCCCAAGTTCTTGAGAAAGACTTAATAGTTGAATAAAAACACAAATCCAATCAAAATTATGCCTGCCAATGTGACCAACCATATCTTATGCTGCAATAAATCCACTAGGCTTTTAGATTAACATTATTCTTTTTATTAATTTTTAAGATTAAATGACAATTTTATTTTTCATATATTCATTCTATTTTCTATTCTATATTTTCTATTCATCATAGCTATATATATAATTCCCAAAGAAAATGGGCGTTGGTCCTATCTGATACGCCCTTTCTCAGCATGAGGGGAAGATCATCCAGGAGTGGGTAGTGCTCAACTTCTCTTCTTGGAGACCGAGTCAAACTTTCTTGGCCACGCCTACTCCTGCCCGGGTGC